CGCCAAGTTACCATAATGTAAAGATCAACCGAGCCTTTATATGTTTACCATGTTCAAGTAACGTAATCTAACCCAAAAATATATTAATTCAAGCTTCTTAAAATAATTAATGATTTAAAGAAAATGTTCGATTTTTCAATATGTAGTCTGTATTAAACATAGGTATACTTGTTCATCAGTACTGTTTCTAAAAGTTACTGTTGAAGAACATGTGGAACATGCTTTTGTTGTGGTTACAGTGACATGACTGAATGCAACTGACACTGCGAGAATTATAAACTGTTTTCAGTAGCTAAAAGTATAATTGTAGCTAGTCAGAGCAATTTGCAACAACATTATTTAGAATCACTCTGTTTTTGACATATCTATTATTGGAATTTATATAGCAGATACTTTTATATTTTTTTAACAAAGCCTCACAAGGTATTAGTATGTTTGGATATGAAGTTGATGTTCATTATTGTTTTTTCGACATTATGTGGTATATAGTTGCTGGAAGTATGAGTTGTTTAACTTAATCTTTTATTTAAGTGAATCCTATTTAAATAACGTGCTTTCTCTAAGAAAATTATGGTCATTTTCAGCTAAGATTTGTGTGAAATAAGCATCTGCCCTTGTTAATGAGTGATCCTATTAGCTGGAATTGATTGTATTTTTAGGACTCTCAATTAAAGTTATGAATAGTGCAAACCATTAGTCTTTATTATCTGAGTGCAACTTGTTTTTTGACATCAGCCTTATATATGATTATTCATAAAATATTTTGGAAGCAAGGAAAACTAAATTTATTTTTGAATATCTATTAAACAAGATAATTGTATTGAAACACCTATTAAAATACAATTTAATTATCTGGATTTTAATCCAAGTGCTTTAAAAGTGTGGATGTTTTAACATCCAAATTGAATGTTATATAATTTAAAATTGCTCCAGTCTTCTTAAATGTTTCGTCAAAATTTGGTCAGAATTAGGCATCACATGATGCATTACAAAGTTTTCTAGTTAACCATACCCTTTGTTTTCAATATGTGGTAAATCTGCCAGGTTTTTTTTTTTTTTTTTTTTTTTTTTTTATGTATTTTCAAATGTGCACAAGACAATAGCCAATACACACATGTTTGAATGCATTTGGATTCGTGTGCTTTAGATTTAACTGTATGTTCGCTCTGCAGTATTTACTGTAAAAATGAAGTATGGGTCATATAGATTTTGTTTTTCTCATAATTTTTTTTCTTTTTTTAAGACCCTTTTTTATTATTATCAATAAAAAAAAACAGTACCTTTAAGCCAAAGGAAAATCAAGATAACTTTTCTTAGGATTGCAGATAATCAGAAAACTGCCTAATTACTGTATTTGGCAGTGTATAAGACACCCCCCTTTTATACACGTTTTTGAAGGATAAAACTTTATTACTGATCATTATAATGAATTTACAGTATTTTAAATATAAAGTAATACTTCTTGCAAATACCCAATCTATCTGAGAAAGAACACCTTTTAATCTTTGTCAAAACCCAGACACTCATCTCCAGAGCTATATGAAGAGTCACTTGAAACCTCTTCTAAATCAGCATCTGAGTCCTAAGACAACGAATTGTCCTCTGTACCATCCAGTGCATTACTAATGCCACACTTGATTTGACCATAGTCTCTGTTTTCACAGCATCCCATGAAGCTTTGACCCATTCACAAACTTGAGTAATGCTAGGCCTCTTACTTCTCCCTGATGGTGTAACCTCAAAATTTGAAGACTGCATCCAGCTTTTCCACTTCTCCTTAAATCCCTTAGATGATTTATTAATGCAAACATCTAAAGGTTGAAACTGACTAGTTAGTTCCCTGTAATTACAGCCAACTGAGTTTTCAATTCTTTGAGTTTATTTTTAACATCTGTTCTGTGAGAATGAAACTGATCCCATACTAGTAGGGCAGGTTTCTTCAACAGTCTGCCAGGGTGCCTCGACCAAATTTTGTCTATCCATAACTTCATTCCTCCTTCTCCATCCAGCCAGCCTTTTGCGTGAACTTATATAAACAATCCTTTTGGTAAATTTTCTTTGGGTAGTGTCTTCCTTTTAAAAATCAATAGTGGGGGCAATTTTGTCCCATCAACAGCAGGATAAAACAACCATGTTCGAGTTTTTTCGTTCCCTGAAGTATTAACAGTTAGCACTTTTTGTACCTTTAGAATCTATAGTTTTCTTTGAGGGCACATCAAAATTCATAGGAACCTTGTCCATGTTTTAGTTATGCAAGTTCAAAATTGTCTCGTTTTTGTGTATTATTGACGAATTGATAAAATTCAATAATTTTTTCTTCATAATCGTCTGGTATCTTTTGCGATATTTTATTTTAGTCCACATACATAGTTAATTTCTTTTCATGAGTCTTGAACACCATGATGTTGATCCGGTAAAATGGGCAATCTCTCTATCAGTTGCTATCACTTTTGCTTGATGAATAATCATTGTTGGTGTGATTGAAAGTTCCTTTTTTCTGTGGTCTAAAATCCAAGTATTCAGCTCTGCCTCGAGTTCAGGTCGTTGTGCAGCTCCCCTTCGTAGATTATGTTTACTGCGAGTTGCTTTTTGTAGATCCTCTTCCTGATTCTACCAAAATTCTTATCATTTTCTCATTTGGAAACAGTGTAAAATGCCTCTTTGCAGCCCTGTTTCAGTGTTCTTTAGCATATGCAAACACGCATAGCGTGTATGCTGTATTATAGCAATGCCAACATTGTTTTTGAGCCATAACTTGCCAACAAATGTAAAAAAATTTAACAGTAGAAATTTCACATACTTAAAAGTCTCTCATAAAAATGGGAATGTTTAAAGGAACCCACCCAGCTGTGATCGTCGATTACAGCGCATCCGCATTCGCTGAACGCTACATAACTGTAATATTCCCACACTCCACAAAGAAACAGGAAAAACTTGCATAACTCCGAATAAAGGAAATTTCTAGAAATGAATGTAATCAAAAACTGAGTATCGATGTATAAGATGCATCCCGTTTTTCAGACCTATTTTCAAAGGGAAAAAGTGCGTCTTATATGCTGGCAAATACGGTAAATTGCAGATCTGAATTTTGTTGTGTGCGTAGTTATTGTACTTAATTTGCTAGTAAGAATAATAGATAGTTGCTTAGTGGCATTATGCAATATTGTATTGCAGGAAATTGTGTCTCAAGTTCTGTTAAACTTTGCTAGTACAATGTGAAGTTTGTTTGAGCCCATTCGAAAAGGGCATGTATTTCTGAAAACTAATTAAATAATTTTATTTAACTCACTGATACTTGCATTCTCTAAAATCATCTAGAACTTTGGGTGGTTGTATTTTAACTGTACAATGTGATTTTTTTTTTTTTTTAATTAGAAGAAATGCTGTTATAAATATAAATTATTGAATATTTTAATGCGTTTTTTGTTGTTGTTGTTTGAAGTTTTATTTCTGATTTGCAGTCAGCATTTGAAGAAAGTGTGCAAGGTTTATATTCTATAAAATTGTATTCGGTGAAATTTGGTATTCAACAATTGTGACATTTTTCACAGTTATAATTTCATTGTGTTTTTAATTATGAGTAAGATGTCTCCTTAAACCAACGATCATTATTTCTCTTTAAAAAAAAATGTTGTGTATAAAATTGCTCTGTATGATTAGAGAAGTATGCACAGTAGTAATACAATGCATATGCATGCATGGCAGTGGTAGTCTTTAATGTGAGCATCTTCGTATGTTATGGAATTAATTAATACTGTGCGTACCTTTTTATTATTTGTATGGCGTGGTGAACTGGTTTGTTTCTTGTCGCAATCAACTTAATAAAGGTGGATTTGAAGAGCTTGATGAATGATGAAATTTGCTCTCTGCATGATGAAATAAAAGGAAGCCACAGATAAAATAACTCTAATCAGTGAAAGTATTGAAAAGTAGAATGCTGTCTTTTGAAGCATATTATTTGTGAAGATAATGTGAAAGGTTTCTTAACTCTGTTTTTGTTTTATTCAAATATAATTTTCTTAAAAAATTTTAATCTGACTTTATAGTGCCCTAAAAGCTCTTGCAAGAATATTTAATATTAACAAAAGCTGTTCTTTGTTGTTGTCACTTGCAATTAACCTCATTCTTGTAACCAAATGTTACTCAGAAGTGAGAAAAATTGACTCTATCCGATTGATATAATTATTAAGACCATAAGATTGAGGATAATATATTTTCAATACTTGTGTCTTTATAGAAAAATTCTGATATAAATGGGATCCATATAAGGGCTAAGTTAGAAATTCTTAAAATACTGCATATAAGGGGAATATTATTTTCATATTTTATTAGTGTCATTTTATATGCTGCTAATTATTGTTTGCAATAAATTATTTTTAATGAATTCAGATTTGGTTTTTGTTGTAAGCTTTAATTTTTTCAAAGGAAGAAAATGGAAAGGTAATTAAAAATGTGAGATGATATATATATTTCCAATGGCGGTCACTAGCCATTATAGGCCACTGTTAAGCCTGGAAGAGCGGTGGTCACGTTATTGTGGAGGCACTTAATAGGTGAGCCACTGTTACCTCCTATGAAGAGACAGACAATTTACATCCATGCATTCTCTGTGATTCAAACCCAGGCCCTTCAGTACGGCAGGCAGGGTCTTTAACCTCTTTCTTGTCTGAGCAGCACAAGATGATATATATATTTATTTAAATTTTTGTGGGAAAAATGCTTTTTTTAATTATGAAGTTAAGTATAGCCTTATGTCAAAAGAATTTATGTATTTCTTTAAGATCACATGTTTTTTAATGTTTTAGAAAGTTCCATTTGCAACTAATACCTAATAATTATTTTGCTGCATTTTATATTCTTTCTAAATGAAATTTTGAAATTTATTGCTCCCTAAATAATGTATGTCTTTGAATTTACTGAGTATTTCTTTTAAAAATCATGAATCTTTTTACTTTGTTCAGTATAAGTTTGTATTTATAACAGTTCCTCTTGCTTTGCAGATTTTGAACGGATAATGTAACATTGCTGATGTGTGTGCAATATAAATCCCGGGGCACTGGAACCTAATATGTACCAGGGTGTCCTGGTGTACTGTGTGCTATAGAAATGTATTAATCATTTTTGGAATATTGCAAAGTTATTTAGTAGTTATAAAACTGGAGGGCGCTACAGCAATTTTCGAGATGGTGAAGACTTTTCAAGCCTACTTACCTAACTGCCATCGCACGTACAGTTGCATACATTGCCGAGCACATCTTGCTAATCATGATGAGTTAATATCAAAGGTAATATCTGTGAATCTTGTTTTAAACTGTGATCACATTTTCAAAAAATATATGTATGAAACTATGATTTAGAACATGTAGTAGGAGTTTGCCCCACCCCCAAATATTGTGATTATTAATATTATGAATTAAAAGTGTAAATAAGTAGAAAGACTGCGTATTTACACTTTTAATTAGTTAGCAGCCATATTTGTTTACATTTATATATGTCACTGCTGTACTTGTGTTCGTATTTCGTATTCATTCGTGTGTAATTTTGTGTCACCAAATATAGAGCAAAACATTTTTTACATACAATGTATTTTAATTTGCTTTTAATTAGAGCCCTGCATTATATTTAAAGAATGAAAGTAATAAAGAATCTGCATGAATGTATGTATGTTTCTCACATTGTGAAAAAACAATGGTTCCTAGAGGCGTCAAATTTTAAATAACGTTCTTCTTCAGTCGAATATGGGCATCTGGAAGCCCAAATTTGGATTCTGTTTTATTATCTATTTCCTATGTTGTTAAACTTTTACGAATTTTTGATTAACAAACTCAACAAGCTTAACAAGCATTCCATTAACATTAACATTGTGGGCATCTTCAAGCATAGATATTATATGTGCAAGGTTTCTGTACATTTCTTAGTGGTATTATGTTGGTAGTGTAGCAATGCAAAGATGTTACAATGTGTAATGGTATTTTGCATAGATTGACTTTGAATGTTTGTATCACTTTTCAGATCCCATTTTGAATCCCCCCCCTTTGGACATAGTATAAAATCTGAAAGCTTTCAGATTTTTTTAAATTTTTACTTACTTGTATATGAAGTATAGGAAGTATTGTAATCACGAAAAATTCTAGGTACTGTGTTTCAACAAAAATTCATTTTGACTGCTGAAATTTAACAATGTTTTTGTGATACATCTGTACATAAGGACAGAATAAAGGAGTCGTCCCCCCGAACAAATTATAAAAGTTATTTAAAATGGTTTCAGAAGATGGTAAAAGTATAGTTTAGGGTACCCCTTGGCGATTTTTAGCGGTACATGGATACCACTTTTGTGCAATTCTTTAACTCGTTATTTTGGCTTGCGAAACATCGATTTTTGCGCCAAAAATTGCCGCTACACAAAACCAAAATAACAAGACAAACAATTGCACAAACTCTGTATCCATGTACACAACGACTTATTTTCACAAAATTCGAATTGCACAAAAATGGCATAGCGCACTCCTTTGACTTTATCCATGCACATAGACCTATTTTCACTTAAAAAAAAATCCCCAAATTGCACAAAAATGGCATTGCACACTCTTTTAACTTTACCCATGTACACATCAACCTATTTTCACTTTAAAAAAAAATCCCAGAATTGCACAAACTTCCATTGTGCACTCCCTTTACTTTGTCCATGTACACATCGATATATTTTCACTTAGAAAGTCAAAGGAGCACCAAATTCTACAGTATAGGCAAACCAAAAAATGCATAATCTCGATGAAATACATTTTAAACCAAACAATAAAATAATATAAAAAAGGAAAAACATGTTATACATTTAAACACTACCAAAAGCAAATAGTCACTTACCATGATTTTTGAATTCGCTTCGTACACACAGAGCCACGTAAAAATCAAAATATCAATCATACTCAAATGTCTTTTTTCAAACCAGATACTCTTTCTGATCGAATGCTTCACATAGTGACCATCTGAACCTGTCTTCTTACAAACCCATTCAAATCCATCTAAACGGTTTTTACGTTCGACTAGACGCATATCCTTCCTACGTACAGGACACTTATAATGGCTACTAAGTAAACCTTTATTTACACACCAGTCAATTAAAGCTCTTTTCCGCTTTCGCTCCAAATTGTACAGAAACTTCAAATTACAAATTAATCTTACTACATTCGGCCATTCTACCCTCTAAAAAATCAAACCAACACACACCCACAAAAACGCTTACAAAACATCCCATGATTCAAAATTTCCCAGAATCATGCACCCAATTACATCACAATACTGTTTCCATAACATTCAACTACTGAGGCTACCATAAATGAAACAACAACTTTGCCATAATACAAGGGATACCTTAAAGTCTGCTCTACCCCAGAAGATTTTTCCTAATTGTGTATGTATGTATCTCGTGTAACTCGAAAACGAATAGCTTCAGAACGTTGGAATTTTATATGTGGAACTGCTATAGCATGTAGATGTGCATCGTTTTGGTTGCAATCGGCCGCACCAAAGGTATATAAATATATGTATACATTAATATTATATTAAATATATGTAATTTTTTACCATAGCAGCCATATTTGTTTACATTTGAAACAGCGGAATAGTGGATTTGTTGCCAATCTAGAGAAACTAAGCTTTGTAACAACAAAACAATGTCTTGTTTATTATTGTGAATTAAATTAAGCTTAATCCATTCTGGAATTATCATTTAAGTTATTAAATTATCCCATATATTGACTCAGCATAGCGTCCATAAGAATTTAAGTCAGTTTCTATGCTTTCAGTATCTTTTTGCCAAGTGAGACCAAAACTATGCTTTCAATTTTATGCACCAAAAAATCTGCCTTCTTGTCCGCTGGCCGAATTGCTTGTTTTTACCTAGAAACTATAATTTTAATTGTAAAAAAACTTTTTTAATTGTTTTGTATTTTCTATAAGGATCAATTTTTAATATAGATATTTTATGTATTTTTGCCTTGTTACGAAGTGAGAACTGAACTAATTGAATGAGAAAAATGTCTCTAATGAAATTCAAGGAAATAAGTAAATGAAATGCAGGAAAAAATGCATATAATTTAATATTCCGTACAAGGAAGTCATGTGGTGTATACATCAGATTTTTTATACTGATTTTGCCATATAAAGAAAAAACTGAATTTGCGTATGGCTTGAATATTAATTTATATATGTCACTGCTGTACTTGTGTTCGTATTTCGTATTCATTCGTGTGTGATTTTGTGTCACCAAATATAGAGCAAAACATTTTTTACATAAAATGTATATTTATCATTGTAAAAAATGTTCATACAATGTATATTTACAGGGTTCGTAGCGGTCCTTATAAGTGCTTATAAGTCCTTATATTTGAAAATAAAATATAAAGGCCCTTATAGGTGCTAACGTTTTCTTTAAAGCCCTTTTTTTTTTTTTTTTTTTTTTTTTTTTTTGTTGTTGTTGTTGTTGTTGTTTTTAGTGCTTATTTTTTGCTTTCAGTGCTTTTTTTTTTTTTTAAATGAAAGCGCAAGTAAACTTCCAAAAATGGTTGTGTTTTAACACAGATTAGCTTTCTAAGGAATAATATTCGGAATGGCATAAATAAAGGGAAAGTAATCTAATAGTAAAAATAATTTCATTTTTTTGGCCAATGCATTATACAGCACGAATGTTGGGAGGTTCTCCCCTTTTTCCGCAAAATCTCGAATATTGAAACTGTTATAGTTCGCTGCAAAACAAGCAACGGACTTTTTTTTTTTGTCACTTTCCAATTTGGATTGAATAGGACTAAAAGTTCTGCGGTCTACCAACCCAAGCGAAGAATGATTCTATTCCGGAAATTTAGCGCAGTCTGTTGAAAATCAGAATGAAAAACACCTCAGATTGGTAAGTCTCTTTCTTTTCCATTCTTTAGTTCTTTATTCTCCCAATCCCGGCAGCTGTTGAATCCGATTGCATAATATCATGTAGGGAAGAATTACAGCGCACGTATTGCGCAATAACGTTTGTGATATTTTGCAGAGATAATTAATTTTGATGTTCGGTCCCAGATTTGTTTATGAGCACTTAAAAGAGTTTTCCTGTGCTTGCAGAGCAGAATATTTTTCTGTTCCGTTGGTTTGTTTTTATATGAAACAAACCAACGGAACTTGCACATATCGAAATGTCAAAAGCATTTATTTAGCGGAAAAATCTAAAGAACGGCTACAGTCTATCCCCCTCCGCTCCTCTTTTTCAAGTTACGCTCCGCTGTCCGAATATTCGCCAATTTTCAAGTATGCGGGTAGTTAAGCTTTTACTGTTAAAGGATGACTGCATGAAGCAAATTTCTGTCTTCTGATTTCAGAAATGTTCCTCTTTTTTATTTAAATTACTTTGCTTGCAATATCTGTTAAGGGAAAACTGATATACGATGAAAATTTAGAAAATGTTCAGAATTTAGATTTAAATTAGTTAAATATCAATATGAGTGGAAAAATAAATTGTATTTATTATTAAGTTCCAAGCGAATAGAATAAATATGCCTTATTATTATTTATTTCCTCTATTTTGAACTGAAATTTCATCATTAAATCTTGTAATATAGTTTAGTTCTGCATAGTTTTTTTTCCCTCTCATTGTAAACTAGTTCTGTAAATTGAACTGTTATTAAAAAAAAAAAAAAAAAAAGTAATTATTTTTCCATGGTTGAGGTAATGCTTATTCTCTCTTAATAAATACTGCATTTCTCATATTTTAAATTACGAGTCTAATTTTTAAGGTTATGCAGTTGTGTATAATGCAATTAAACGGGTGCTTATTTTTTTTCTTAAAATGGGCTTGAAAAGTGCTTATAGGTGCTTATTTTTTTAACTAAAATGTGGCTATGAACCCTGATTTAGTATTTAGCACTAGAACTACTGATAAATATATTAACTCTTAGTGGAAAAAAAAAGGGGGATTTCTATTGTTAATATTTCATATATGTGAATCCTCTGCTGATCAGTAAAACATTATTAATGGCAATATAAATTCATATCCCAGTAGCAGAATAGACTGCACATAAGAGTGTGGTTGTGGTTTTTTTATAAATGTGGGCCACTTTTTCTGAGAATACATTTAGTGAAAGTAACATTCGTAGGCGAATAACATTTGAATACTTTGATATGGAGTAAAAAAAAAAAGTTCAACATCATGAATGTTCATTTATGCATCATTGAAAGCTGGGTTAAACAAATAAAATCGTGTACAGATAGTTATTTAGCAACCAGATTTTTAAATCATTTTTAA